ACTTCTCTCAAAATGTGTTATCCAAACGCCCGAAATATCGTGAGCCTAATTCCATCATTTGGAAACACTACTTCAAAATATTAATGCATTCAGTCGAGGATTATGCCAGGCAATGGAGTAAACGCGTTAATGAACTGAATGGGTCTATAAATACACATTCGACATCATGCTACAGACCCAAATGTGTCAAAACAACTATCCTACCTCCATGACAAATATATTGTTGTTCCCGCAGATAAAACCAAAAACAACAAAATTCTTGTTTATAAATCACATTACATAAACTGCTTTTAAAAATGAATAAGGTATTCGCAATTCGCTTGGAAACTCAACATATATCACCATGTCACTTACATATGGAAGAAATCCTGGATACTCATAGTTCTAATTTCCCTTTGAATTTCAAAGATGAAGAACTGGATCTTCCTTTACAAAATTTGATACCTCAATGACATTAGTGTCGGAACCAACAACGTTATATAACTAAATCTTTCAAGTGCTTCACGAAAACTCCTTCTAAACTATTAACATCAAGTGTTTCATCAATCAAAGCCGGGTTCAAAAGGTATTGTGACACTAACTATTCTAGCGGTGGCACCAACCGTGATCGTCTTCTTGCCGACTTGATCCTTTATTCATATGAGGCTGACTTCATACATGAGCTTCTTAAGAAAAAAGAAAAAAATGGCATTATCCGTCAACTTCACTTTCCGCTATATATATTATGTTCTCTCACTAAAAATTTCCAATTTTGGTGGATGACTATGTTGACCGCATCTATCCCATCGATCTTGAGAAAGAGGATACAACAGATACATTTAAGGCTTTCTGATAACTTGACTTACATCTAGAAAACAAGAGGCTCTTAAGAGCCTGTGTCGCACACCTTGGTCTATGTGCATATTAAACAAAGGACACAGATGGATTCATGACAGAATTGCGTTTTGGTGATGGTGATGTGTTTGTAGATCTTACTTTACTGAACATTCTTGATGCTTACAATTATCTCTATCTATAATGAACTTGGCCCAGTAGTTTCAGTGGAAATTATTTTGTAAAAATTTACAAAATTTATGAAAATTGTTAAAAATTGATTATAAAGGACAATAACTCCTTAAGGGGTCAATTGACCATTTTGATCATGTTGACTTATTTGTAGGTCTTACTTTGCTGTACATTATTGCTGTTTACAGTTTATCTCTATCTATAATAATATTCAAGATAATAACCAATAGCTGAAAAAAATTCTAAAAATTACCAATTCAGGGGCAGCAACCCAACAATGGATTGCCTGAATGGTCTGAAAATTTAAGGGCAGATAAATCTTGACCTAATGAACAATTTTGTTTTTGAAAGGTTTGCTTGAAATGCTTTGGGTTTAGATATATAAGCCAAAAACTGCATTTTACCCTATGTACTATTATTAGCCATGTCGGCCATCTCGGTTCGCGGGCGGGGTCAATAATTCAAGATAATAACCAATAGCTGAAAAAAATTCTAAAATTTACCAATTCAGGGGCAGCAACCCAACAATGGATTGCCTGAATGGTCTGAAAATTTAAGGGCAGATAGATCTTGACCTAATGAACAATTTTGTTTTTGAAAGGTTTGCTTGAAATGCTTTGGGTTTAGATATATAAGCCAAAAACTGCATTTTACCCTATGTACTATTATTAGCCATGTCGGCCATCTCGGTTCGCGGGCGGGGTCAATAATTCAAGATAATAACCAATAGCTGAAAAAAATTCTAAAAATTACCAATTCAGGGGCAGCAACCCAACAATGGATTGCCTGAATGGTCTGAAAATTTAAGGGCAGATAGATCTTGACCTAATGAACAATTTTGTTTTTGAAAGGTTTGCTTGAAATGCTTTGTGTTTAGATATATAAGCCAAAAACTGCATTTTACCCTATGTACTATTATTAGCCATGTCGGCCATCTCGGTTCGCGGGCGGGGTCAATAATTCAAGATAATAACCAATAGCTGAAAAAAATTCTAAAAATTACCAATTCAGGGGCAGCAACCCAACAATGGATTGCCTGAATGGTCTGAAAATTTAAGGGCAGATAGATCTTGACCTAATAAACAATTTTGTTTTTGAAAGGTTTGCTTGAAATGCTTTGGGTTTAGATATATAAGCCAAAAACTGCATTTTACCCTATGTACTATTATTAGCCATGTCGGCCATCTCGGTTCGCGGGCGGGGTCAATAATTCAAGATAATAACCAATAGCTGAAAAAAATTCTAAAAATTACCAATTCAGGGGCAGCAACCCAACAATGGATTGCCTGAATGGTCTGAAAATTTAAGGGCAGATAGATCTTGACCTAATGAACAATTTTGTTTTTGAAAGGTTTGCTTGAAATGCTTTGGGTTTAGATATATAAGCCAAAAACTGCATTTTACCCTATGTACTATTATTAGCCATGTCGGCCATCTCGGTTCGCGGGCGGGGTCATCAGACACAATTTTTAAACTACATAACCTGATGATGATTGTTTACAACTTGGTTAAATTCATTTTAGTAGTAGTGTAGAGGAAAAGATTTTTGTAAAAAATAACAAAAATTTACGAAAAAATGTTAAACATTTACTATAAAAGGGCAATAACTCCTTAAGGGGTCAACTAACCATTTTGGTCATGTTCACTTATTTGTAGAACTTACTATGCTGAACATTATTGCTGTTTACAGTTTATCTCTACCTATAATATTATTCAAGATAATAACCAAATACGGCAAAATTTCCTTAAAATTACTAATTCAGAGGCAGCAACCTAACAATGGGTTGTCCGATTCATCTGAAAATTTCAGAGCAGATAGATTTTGACCTGATAAACATTTTTACCCCATGTCAGATTTGCTCTCAATGCTTTGGTTTCAGATATATAAGCCAAAATCTACATTATACCCCTATGTTCTATTTTTAGCCATGGCGGCCATCTTGGTTGATTGGCCGGGTTTCCGGACACATTTTTTAAAAAAGATACCCTAATGATGATTGTGGTCAAGTTTGGTTAAATTTGGCCGAGTAGTTTCAGAGGAGAAGATTTTTGTAAAAGTTTACGGACGACGGACGACGGACGCCAAGTGATGAGAAAAGCTCAGTTGGCCCTGTGGGCCAGGTGAGCTAAAAATGAAAACAACACGTTATAAATTTCATGCGTCCGAAGCGCTTTTCTGGATTCACCTTCATCAGGAACGCCCAAAGCGAAATTGACAATGAGGGTTGGTTAAAAACTCAACGACACAAAAAAATCATTTTAGCTTCCCCATTGTAAACTGTCCATTTCTAAATAGCAACAATCTAGCAGCACCTGCATATGGTGTATATACCTACCAGTTGATACGATATTCCAGGACTTGTATTTCCTATCATACTTTCCTTGATAAGGAAGATATTAAACCAAGACTTCCAAGTAGTGAAGTTAAAAATCACTTCGTAAATTTTACGCACGCCATCACGAGCTCGTGACCGTTATAGAATATCTGTTTCACAGATGACGATGGGTAGGTTCCAATTGTCGTAACCACAATCCCGTCCTTTTTTCCACGAATGTGACCTACCGAATTAGAATTATCACCGGGTCTGTATTTATATGAGCAACACGATGGGTGCCACACGTGGAGCATGAATTGCTCACCCATCGAGAGCACCTGAGATCGGCCCTGGTTTTGGGTTGGATTCGTGTTTCTCAGTCTCGACTTTTCGACTTGTGAGTTTGTATGTCCCTTTGGTATCTTTCGCCTCTCTTTTGTTATTTAACGAAAAATAAAAGAATACAATAAAAGGTTACAATACACTTTGATAAACTGTTCAGGAAACGGTAATGTTAGCAAATTGTTGTATTTTGAGGAAATCCTTGTCCACGAGAACCAGTATGTCCAGCAGCAGCTGTCATACCAGGTCAATGTGAACCGATGTGTGTGTTCGAGTATGAGACTACTGTGAATGGAGTCAGATGTAAGGTTAGATGCACACGAGGTCCCCGGGGTCCTCCACCTGGGCCAGGACAGCCTTGTCCCCCAACAGGGGTGAGTAAATACAGTCACAATTTACTGATGGTAATTTGTTGCATTAATTGTAGATAAATGGAAACACAAAACAAATATATTTATAGAAGATATACGTAAAATTCACTGGACACAAGGATTTCAAAATCTTGTGAATAACCACGATTGTTTTGATATTATTATTTTTTTAAACTAAGGGTTATCAAAAAATCTCACTTCCGATCATTTTGATCCGTATTTGGAAAATTTAAGTATTTTGTACTTGTGATAGTTTTGATTTTCTGTTGTACTAAATATGATCATGGCTTAGAGTATTCAAGAATACATGTATATCAAGAAATGCTTTTTTCTTTATAAACAGTTAATTATATTATGTAGTTGAAGAAACATGAACTGTTTCGGTAAAATGTGACTCTGTAAAACTGTTTTAATGTATAAAAGTAATACGTTAATTGTACTTTTTGAATGTTTTACTTGATACTGAATTACTTATATAAAGGGATATATAATTGAAGCTGTATATCAAATAAATTATTTGCAGAAAAAGAACAATAAAATATTTGAATTTGAGATAAAAAAAAATTGCAAAAGGAGAGTTAAATAGATAAAAGTTGCACATCACTCCGAGTTTGCGGTGTGGTTCGTGTTTCACATTCTTTATTTGTTTTTGATGTACTATACTGTAAACTGTTGTTTTTCTATTCGTCGTTTTTCGTTTTTGTCATGATAAGCTCAGTCTTTCATCGACTAAGGAGTATGGTTTCTCTCTTTGTTATCTTCAAATGTTTTTTTTGTGTATATTTCGTTTGTATTTCTATTCATGTTGAGTTTTGGTATAATGTTATTTTAACAGTTGCCTGTGAGTTGTGTTTTTTCCATCAACGTGTTACTTTAATTCAGAGACATTACTTTCATGATATTATATTGAAAAGAAAATGAACGGATATATATAATGTTCATGATATTGAACTCTGTGATATTCTAGTGTCCTTTGATTGGTCCTCCAACCGGTCCTATAAGTAGACCGCCTGCACCTGCACCTGCACCTGTACCACGTAAGTCAAAACACCACAATGTATAGCTCACATGTATCACTTTAAGAGCGACTACATGTTCTCATTAAACAGTAAAAATAGGAATCAAAGAGAATGAAAGATATCAAGGGGGCAACTCAAAATGAGATTTTCTAAGAAAACAGCCGTGGTAACAGCGTGATTACAAATGATAACGACAAAACATAACAAAACACAGGAAAACTTAAGATTGAGATTTTATACAAACTTCCTTAAAGAGAAAAAGAAAATCATCTTTCAATGGTCTTCATTTTACTTTGAATATTTTGATAACGTCATTGTCATATTTACGCGTTGAGTGCTTGCATCACAAATATCCCATTAAACTTGAAATTAAGATTACTGGCAACATTAGATGAATTGTTTCAAATTGGCGTGTTCTTCTTGATATTGAAAAAGATGGAAAATTTCTAACAATTGCCAATGAGTAGACTTATATGGCAATTTTAGCTGCCCATTTTCAAAATCGCATTTCTCACCAGTAACATTCGCTGTTCCTCACATGAAGGCGTTTTCATATTTCATCTGAAGCGTAAAATACACGTGCATGTTCAGTTTTTAAGTTAATAACGTTAGTTTGTTTTATCTTATCATGCATGAATACTAGAATTTTATTTATTTTTTTTGGAATGCATTCGAATGCAAAACTTTGCTTTCATATTGTGGTTTGAGCGTTCCTGGCTAAAGTAAATTTAGCAACACACTTTGATCTGTAAAGTATGTACACTCAATGCAATTTTAGAAACAATGGTTTGCAATATGTGTAAACATGGCGAAAACACCAAAGAAACACAATTAAATAATATTAGAACGGAAATGAAATATTATCATCTGAAAGGATTATAACACCTATCATTTTCGAAGAATGCGCACACCGCCAGATTGAAAAAAATGTGGGAAAAGGAACTATAGCATGAATAATGTTATGTAGATATAAGAAGATGTGGTATGAGTGCCAATGAGACAACTCTCTATCCAAGTCAAAATTTATAAAAGTAAACTATTATAGGTCAAAGTACGGTCTTCAACACGGAGCCTTGGCTCACACCGAACAGCAAGCTATAAAGGGCCCCCAAAAAAACTGGTGTAAAACCATTTAAACGGGAAAACCAACGGTCTAATCTATATAAAAAAACGAGAAACGAGAAACACTTATGAACCACATCAACAAACGACAACTACTAAACATCAGATTCTTATGTCGTTTTTTATTTCAAGTAAGGTGATTTCAATGTTAATTTTTCCTTTACTCAGCTTCAACAGAGTGTCCACCTGTCTGTGCCATATTTTGTCCATATGGTAATGTGCTGGATAAGAATAATTGTCCAATATGTGAATGTAAAACAGGTAACCCTTTATATATTTGATATATGATTGAGATTTAAAACAAAATTTTGGAATGTTTTGTGAGTGTTGTCCACCAATCAAAAATACGGAATATATATGCATGTATGTTCTTTTGCTTTTGGTGTGTCTTTGCTGTGTATGTCATGGATGGATACCCCTTATCGTTTGTTTTTTCTATTATGTAAAATAATTATTTTTTTCAGAATTTCGTAATCTAATATTAGGTTGCAAAAGCTGCTCCCTCAATTTGTTTTCATGCACATTTATATGTCTAAAAAGAACCATAACTGGAATTTTTAAAACTTGGCTGAGGTACAGTTATTAAGGATATGAGGTACAAGTTTTTGATTGTCAATCAGACTATCCCTCATTCCAAAGAAAAATACCTTCTACAGTTTTGCGTGATTTGTTTTCATGTCAAAACACCAAGTAGGCTTTTAATTTAGATTGAAGTTACAACACTAGGTAAGTCTCTTCGAAGGAAGTTTCATTTAAGGAATACACTAAATTTTGAGTTAAACATATCAGCACTTGAATCAGATGATTTAAAATTAATCACTCAGTAGAAAGAAAGATATTAAATATGTAATCTTTGTTTGAAAATTAAACTTCAATACTCCAAAACTATGCTGAACATTTTTAAACCAGATATTAACCATGAAAACCATAGAACATATTGTAAATGGGGTCCTTTATAAGTATCACCTTACTTTGGGTATTTAAAAATGAAAACAACAAGTTTATGAGTCCGAAGCGCTTTTTTTAAATGTCAAACGTCAAACAGAAGCGGGAACATGGTGTTATGAAATAAAGAATACTTATTCAAACAATAAAAACGTATTATTTTCTCTCATGTTCTTCACTAGAATAGTTCAAGGGACATTTGAATTTTCTTCAGAACAGAATCGGATAATGACTTCCAATCCTTTATTGCAATATAATAAGATGTTTTAAATTCGATTCATATAATGTGCTTTTCGTATATTTAAACAAAATTAAGTGCAATATTAAATTTACCAAGAATTATAATTTAACCGTCGGCTCATATTTTACAGAGCGATAAATCAAATAGCTTTAGAAAATAGTTTTAAAAAACAACTACCTATGCTTGTAGGTTCAGATTTTGGTAGTAAAAATTCCATTCACATAATTTTAACAAAGTGAACTTAATGGTATTTCTTATTTAATTTCATACGCCATCGTCATTTCCTGATCTGTTTCGCCTCACAACGCTAGAGAGGAAAGCAAGTTTAGTTTCCATAGGGTTTCAAGTAAAAGTTATACGTTGGTTAGTGGCAACTTTGACTTTCCAAAACACATTTGTTTATGACCTTTATCGCAACATGTTTGCAAGGAAGGTTTCAATTTTGTCTCAAAATATTTGCTTTCAGGCTGTAATTTTGTGTCAATCTGCACATCCATGCATTTACTGTGAAACTATAATGCCCTTAAGTTTTTGAATTGTAATTATTTCAAGAAGCCTGAAATTTTGCATGCTGTTTCATTTTATCAAGTTACATATGTTTTTGTCTTACCGACAAATCATCTGACAGTTTTGTTTAACTGCAAAATTTAAATTAGAAATAAACGGACTCGGTTCAGAGCAATTCAGGCAATCAAATTTATGTCATAACATGCAGAAAATGAAAAAAAAACCATACGCAGAAAACTAAGACTGACTTTGATGTTTGTAAAAAAACGCAAAGGGCTTTAATTCCAAATTTTACCTTTAATGTCCGATCGACACTAAATACAAGACTTGTGAAAACATTTTAAGGACTATTTTTGTCAAGCCTGGTTTCAACATGGTTCAGTTGTTCTAGTGAACACGTTTTCCCAAGAAGAAAAGAAATGCTCTTATCATTTATGAATACGTTCTAAAATTAAATTTAAAGTTAGATAAAATAATTGTCAGTGACAACAAATAGACTGTTTGGTCGAGTTGTTGTCTCTTTGACACATTCATCATTTCCTTTCTCAATTTTACAATACTTTGCTTTCATTTTTTTTGGTTTGAGCGTTCCAGATCAAAGCACATTTGGCAAAAAACTTTGCTCCGCAAAGTATGTACACTCAACGCAACTTTAGAAACAATGGTTTATAAAACGTGTAAACAAGGTGAAAACATACCAAAGAGACACATTTAAACATAAGTAGAACAGAAAAAAAAATATGATCTCCTGAAAGAATTATAACACCAATAATTTTCTTCATATGCGCAAACCGTCAGTTTGACAAAATGTAGGAAAAGCATTTAATTTTATCTGTATTTTTTTTAATTAAGGAGTTTAATGATAAAGTATCTTTTTCTCATCTTCAACAGAGTGTCCACCTGTTTGTGCCATATTTTGTCCTTTTGGTAATGTGCTGGATAAGAATAACTGTCCAATGTGTGAATGTAAAACAGGTACTAAATTACATATTTGATATTTCAAAGTGATATTACCATTCAAAACAAGCCTTCAGTCGTTTTCCTGTGCATCGTTGTAACGTGGCATCAATGTGGAGCATCTGTAGCACTATTTATATAGCATACGATTGTGTTTCAAATAAGAATTTTCAAATGTTCCTTGAGTGTTGTCAACCAATCAAAATTGCAAAATATACATGTATGCAAAGTTTTTATTTTCTCATAATTTCGTATTCCAATATTAGGCTGCAAAAGCTGCTGTCTCAATTTGTATTCGTGCACTTATATAATATGTATATAAAACACGGCATAACAAGAACTTTTATTACTTGGCTGTGGTAAAGTTTAATATTAAATAAAGGAGATGTGGTCAAATGAATGAATCTCAATGAGACAGCTATCCATCAGAGTCAAAATATCGCAAAACGCAACTGCCGTCATTAATGAGAAAAACCCATACCGTATAGTAATGACATAATGTGTGGCTGACCTTGGTGCTCAAACTCAAATATTTTCACTTCAAACGTTTCCAAAGTTAAAGTGCAACCGACAACCACAATCTTTTATTCGTCCAAACCGCGTTACGAAGCGATGCTGGCCAAGGGTCCCCACAAATTGCTTAGCAAGAACTTTTGTTTAATCCACAATGGAAAGATTTCCACTGGTGGCAGTTGACACTGGTTGTTTCCAATCATAAAGCGACTTAGAGCAATTACGTGTATTTATGAAATAGTAAAAAGCAGGTGACGTGAAGATTGTGTTACGAGTCTTTACCCTATCAACATAGAGAGACAATTTCAGTTATCCGTTCTACATAAAAATAAGGAGATGTAGTATGATTGCCAATGAGAAAACTATCCACCAAAGTTCAAATGAAGTGGATGTCAGCAATTATAGGCAACCGTACGGCCTTCAACAATGAAAAAACTCATACCGTATGGTCGGCTATAAAAGGACCCGACATGAAATTTCAATTGAGAAAACAAACGGCCTAATTTATAACAAAACAATTTACGAAAAACGAATGACAGACATGAACCAACGACAACCACTAAACTACAGGCTCCTGACATGGGACAGGCACATACTGAATGTGGCGGGGTGAAACATGGTTGTAAACGCTCAACCCTCCTCGTTTTTCATCAACTTATTGCAGTTTTAAAGTATGTTCTGTGTGAAAACAATGATTTGTTAACGTATTTATGCAGTTTCTGCTCCACTTAATTGAACATATATCCAAAATAGAATTTGACATTAGCCATCTAATAGAAACCATTAATAATGAAATGATATCATGATGAGACATGCTAAGAAATAAGTCTGTTCATGAATGAATGGCTGAAGGAAGCATTTTAGAAATTCTTCACGAATATTTCTGTAAATACTGGATGGAGCTACATTTTACACTTCCAGACAAAATATACTAAAAGTGCTCTAATTTATCAAGAATGACGCAGTAGGATTGAACGTGACTTCTATCTATAATTGGCGGCCGCAGTTTTGTATTCACAATTTTTAGTGTTTTCTGCCAAGGTGAAAGAGGAGGAGGCCGGATTATAACATTAGACTAACGAAAATGTGATAAACAAAGACAAGTTTCCCTATCTAAGCTCATTCAAACTAACGTGTAATTGAGTTTATAAAGTGTTGTAAATAGTTACGCCCGTTTTAGATCTAGTACAAAATTATGTATTTGATCAGTGTATACCAACATGTAAAAAACAAATATTTGTTTTAATCAAGGTAACCCCCACAAGCCTGGTAAATGTCCTGCAGTTGACCTAGCTTCTATTACCTGTCCTGTAGGTGAAATCCCTAGAAAGTGCAAAAATGACTTAAGTTGTCCTGGGTTACAGAAGTGTTGTCGACAAATTTGTGAATTCGTTTGTGTGGATCCAAATCTAGTTACCAAACCTGGTGAATGTCCTTTGGTAAATTTAACTGCTATTACATGTCCCGACGGGCCATTACCTAGACACTGCATTGATGATGGTAGTTGTCCGATGGATCAAAAGTGTTGCAGACGAAGATGTGCAACCGTTTGTACATATCCAGGTATTTTAAAGCCAACGTGCATTTCGATTCATATCTACATTTATTTGTTTTTTATGACTTAGATTCACTTCTCTCCTGCAGTCCACAGAAGGCCATGTTTGTATTTTTGAATCACGAAATGTAGTAATATATACAAAGTTTAAACTCACCATCGTACATGTAACTAAACAGTAAAATAAATTGTAAAAAAAAATAGAATCAGTAAAATAGAATTCACTTAGTAAAGTAGGCTATATATCTGGTCTATATACCAGCTTTGATAAGTGTTTGATATTACAATAAATTTTCACTTCGCACCATGAACATCAAATTATTTATTTTGTAAAAATATTTCCCTCTTTATCGGAGCTGTACACGTATACCTAACAACAACATTATTTAAATTTACCTGTGTTTAAAGTTATTGCAAATGGCTGATATATTTGTTCGAACATATTGTTTTTCTTAAATTGTTTAACATTTCATACCGATATAACATGTTACTTTTATTATTCTTCCCTTAGTTTATTTATTTTGTATTTACATTGTATCATAGGTCAAATTTATTTGTTCAGTGTTTGTTCACTGGTGTTAATATGTCCTTTGATTGAGTTAAGCTATTTCAGTTGATATTTTATAGTGTGTCTTTCTATGTTGTGATGTTACACTATTGTTTCAAAAAAAGGGTGAAGGTTTGGTACCATTAAAACGTTTAAACCCGCTGCATTTGTTTGCACCTGTCCTAAGTCAGGAATCTGATGTTCAGTAGTTGTCGTTTGTTAATGTAGTTCATAACTGTTTCTCGTTTCTCGTTTTTTAAATAGATTAGACCGTTGGTTTTCCCGTTTGAATGGTCAGTACTGTGACCTATAATGGTTTACTTTTATAAATTTTGACTTGGATGGAGAGTTGTCTCATTGGCACTCATACCACATCTTCTTATATCTATATAGCAGTTTTATGTAAAATGCGAATAAATTCCGAGAGTATCAATTTCAAGTTATATTGCTACTGGTTGTATACATCTGTGGAACATGTAAACTATCTGTAAATATACACAGTTAAATGAGAGACGGTCAAGGAAAAAGCAACCTGGAGTGTTATATAGAAAGATTAACGTTTATATACAAATTTATACTGACCTTACTCTGATATAACAGTTTAATGCGAATGAATCGAAAAGACCCCAAAAAAAAGGTTACCTATATATAGATAAGAAGATGTGGTATGAGTGCCAATGAGACACAATGTGTAAAAAGTAAACAATTATAGGTTTAAGTACGGCTTTAACTTGGAGTCTTGGCTCACACCGAACAGCAAGCTATAAAGGGCCCCAAAATGACTAGTGTAAAACATTTCAAACAGGAAAGCCAACGGTCTAATCTATATAAAAAACGAAAATCTAGAAACACTTATGAACCACATCAACAAACAACAACCACTGAACAACAGGCTCCTGGCTTAGGACAGGTGCATACAGATGCAGCGGGTTTAAACGTTTTAACATGTGCCAACCTTCACCCTAACCTGAAACAGTAATTTAATATTACAACATAGAACGACACACTATAAAATATCAATTGAAATGGCTTAACTCGATCAAAAAGACATATAAACAAAAACAAGGAAACATACACTGAACGAATAAACTAGATCTATTACACAATATAAATCAAATATAGTTGTTAACTTCTATGTCATTGCTGGAGATTTTTTTGATTGGCAATCATACCACATCTTCCTATTTTTATATCATTACAAACGCCATATCCACCCAAGGTCAAATTGGATAAAGGGATCCTTACTTTTAAATAATAAATGTTTAACAGTTGTGGTCGATTCAACAATCCGGCTTTATTAATATATTCGACTCTTTTACGTTTTTTTATTTCTATTTTTATTGTCTCATTAGTATGTATGGCCTCTATTTTATGTCACAAACGCTGATGGCGGATTGCCAGATATCTGGGCAGCTAATGTTTTAGTATCGGCATGTTAAATAATCATATTGTGGGCTGTCTCATTGACGTATAATTCATATATTATACTGAAACATTGCGATCAAGGAATATATTTTTAAAAGAATAACAAAAATCTGTTTCCGTTATTTCCTGATAAATGGACATTTGCATATAATCGTGTTGAATGAATTTCTTTTTAGATATCAATAACTTAGTCAAATCAGCGATATATATCGACACTCGGACAAAAGCTTGTTCATGATCATTGAAATGAAAAAGCATCTGCAGAAAAATATTGATTTTCCCGAATTTTACTGATTGATTATTGTAATTCATGGCAGTAAACATGCCAATTTAATACGGGCAACATCGATCGTATGCAAGACACATTGGTTTTATCAAGTTTTTTTTATATGCTTTTACGAATATTGTGGTCTCATTAGGGATCACGTGGTCAGTTATTTAGGTATTGTATTGATTTCTAAAAAGGAACGATAGCTTTGTGGATGGTCTATGAAAACACAATTCATATACATGAATACATTGATTTAAAAACTTTTAAAAATATTTGTTAAATAATTACATGTAACAGAAACAGATCAAAATTTATATATATACGGTATATAAAAATTGTTGAGTTAGATTGCTGACAAATAACAAATACATTGTGTATTAAATAATAATATAACATCTTCACACGCTTAAAACACATGTCTTATGTCTATCTCTAGATTCGCCTTACGTGACAAGGTAACACTACGACTATTGAAGTTATATTTTTTTATATAGCGGATGTGGTCGTGTGGTCTAGAGCGCTGAACATGAGGCTAAGCGATTGGTGCTGTAGTGTATCAAAGGTGTGAGTTCGAATCCCGTTGAGGGACAAAAATTTGTCAACATAAAAGTCTAATTCTAACACTGTTGGGTGTAATTTTCAGACTTATATATATATATATATATATACCTTAGTTCTCGCTTCAAAAATGGATCAAAGCAGTACATTCTTATGGTACAAGTAATGTGCTTGTGTTTTTTTTTTTATAAAGTTACTCGTGACAAACCCGGTGAATGTCCATATGTGAACCTTGCTGCTATATCATGTCCAGCGAACTCATTTCCTACTAAATGTTTAAACGATGGAAGTTGTCCTGGAAACCAGAAATGCTGCAACCAAGGGTGTTCAATCGATTGTACAGATCCAGGTATTGTTTAAAAGTACTACAATTAGATTGAAAATAAAACATAACATTTAGGCATATTACATTATCATGATTATACGGATTCCTTTAACATGGGGTGCTCCTAACGCAAAACTCACTACAGTATGAGCATCCGTAAAGACGACTTAGATTTACACAGGTTTCTCGGGCACCATCCTACATAGATAAACCGATACGATGTGTCTGTATCTCATCTCACAGAAAAAATGTCTAAACAGTCTGAGATCTTTAGATATCAAAACGATCTGATTCGTCAATTCACCGATTGATCAGTTATTGCTTATTTTGGGGTTCATTCGATTCTTTAAGATTTGTTCTTTTTTTTCTAAATTTGTATACTTAAAATGACTCCACGAGATTTATACATCGGTAAACTATTGTTGCCTCTAAGACATTTTTAATCAGTTTGTCACATAACAACACTTTTGTTATCTCAATAAGGGACATATAACATGTTTTCTATTTCAATAGGATTGAACATGCAAATCGTGTAAATATATTAAAAAAAAACCTTTCCGAATACCATAAAAGATTTTGCAGAAGGATGAACTTGGGGGCTCCTAAAAAATCAGAATTCCTGTTCATATAGTGACACTCGTTGTGTTACTAAAATCATCGATCGATTTCCAGGAATTAGGAATCGTTTAATTTCAGATTGAAACATGCTATCTAAACTTCACATGACAAATAAAAATAGGTACACGAAAATCCTCTTCCCCTTTGGCAAAAACAATATTGAACGTTTGAAAAATACTCTGTTTTCTAGCAAATATCTTATATCAATTGTGATATTTTGATTGACTGTGAATTCACAAGGCTAGTGACGCATGCTTAGGTAGAGACGCTTACCCTGTCGACCCATCCAGTCTTGTTTTATTTGAATTTTCAGAGATTCCCTTAGGCTTTCTAAATATATATTGAGTAACAAAATTACCCCTTTTACATGTTGAAAGATGTTTGCTCCACCCAAAATATACTTTATTAAAATGAAGCCTTGTGGAATTTGACAAACTTTGTTATTGTAATACCTCCACGTTAGGAGTGAGGGGTATAATAAATTCTCCTTGTCTGCCTATCATTTAGTCCTTTCCTCCATTAAATATTGTACTCACACTCAACTACTACAGAACCGTAAATCTGTCAGTCCTTGTTCCTTGTTCCTGCCTACCAATGCTTTGAAAATTCCAATAAACATGATAGATTAAAGAAACGTAACATTTTACGTAACCATTTTTTTCCAATTCTACTGAATAGAACAAGTCATTTTTCAGTCAGCAGCTCGACAGTGATTAGATGTTGACTTTTTTTTTTAATCTATCTGACTCCTACATCATGTTTTACGATAATTTGAATTATGAAAAAAAATTTTACATTGTTTCCGTATTTGTCTGTTTTCTCGGGATCTTTGACTGCTGGTGGACTATCGGTCTCCAAAGGTATCAGCAGCTCAGTAGTCAGGACTTTGGTACTGACATGATTTATGGCAAACCTAATTACCCGCTTATAAATCAATAAATTATAAAGAAACTTAGGTTTCAACTTCCTCAGGGAAGTTGACATCAGATGAATTTTGCTTTGACCTGGCTTTGAAATATTCTGCTTTGAGCCTTCCTGGTAAAGGTTAATCCAGAAAAGCGTTTAATACGGCTGCAATTTATAAAGTGTTGTTTTTTTTTAATTGTGTACCTTTGATACTTACAATTGAGTAGAATATAAATTAGAAAGCTTACAAAACTGGTGTTTTCATGATTATCAATGATTATAATAAATTATTATAATGTGCAAAATCCAAAGTATTGATTGCTTCTCACTGAGTTCGGAACTCTGGCAATTAAGAACTGTCTCAGTCAATGACGGGTGTCCAATATGATGTTTTTTTATACAAAATAGTCTTGACTATATATGCTTTAATTATTACAATAATAAGTCTATGTGTTTAGAGTTCCGATAGTATATGCCTAATGGGTTATCAAAGGCAATTGAACATTAATTTATAAGGAAGGGAAAATCATACTGTTATCCGATTTCAATTTTTTTTTAATTTTTATTATTAAAATCAACATGTTTAAACTAAAAAAGGCAACCAATTTATCCTAAAATCATATCAATAAGATGAACTAAGTTATTTCTTTGATTAAGATCTACTTGATACACCGGTAAATTATCAAATTTTATTGTTTTAACTGTAGGGATGTCTGTAAGTTTTAAAAAGAGAGGCGAAAGATGCCAAGGGGATATTCAAACTCATGAGAAGAACACAAACTAACAGCGCCACGTCAAAAGGCAAAAACAATCAAAATAACAGAACGGTACACACAACACAACAAATAAACCAAAGACTGAGCAACACGAACCACACCAAAAACCAGGAAGAGTACGCCGATCTTGTTCCACATGTGGCAACCGTTGTGTTGCTCGTGTAATTACAAACTTGGTGATAAGTCAAATTCGGTTACCTCACATTCGAGGAAAGATGAATTGTGGTAATGTGAAAGAGATATTGAATAACAGTCAACAAACTCGTAATGGCTTCAACTTCACCACTTGAAAGTATTGTTGTAATAGCTTTTTTGTAAGCAGCAACCCACTGTCACGACAATCACTACAAAATTAAAGGATTTTAGTTAAATATTTGGAAAAAATAAAAATTGAATTACAAGTAGTACGGTTTGACATTTTTTTATGCTTTTAAAGTTATCTATAATTTATCTGAAAAAATAAGTCATTTACCAGACAATGGATGTTTCACAAAACTTGTGCCTGGACTGTTCGTGTATTGATGAACTTCTAGAATTGTATTTCAGGGAATCCTTGTCCGCCAGAACCGGTATGTCCATCTTCATCTGTAGGTCCAAGAGATTGTGAACCGAGATGTATCTTCGAGTATGTGACTAGTACAAATGGCGTCAGATGTAAGGTTGGGTGTACTCGGGGTCCACTGGGTCCTAGACCTGGGCCAGATCACCCTTGTCCACCAACAGAGGTAAGTTTAAACCCAAGATATCGAAAGTTTTTTGATGTTTCTAAATCAAAAGAATTAATCCATTAGTTGGAAATACATAGAAAATATGTTGAATGGCGTAAAGGAATTTAAACTTTAAACCGCAGCACCAATCAGGTAAGCAACACTAATTCATATAGAGTATAACTTTAGAAGTATATAAATTTGCTATTTTTAAACCAGAATTATTGAAATAAAAAAGGAATTTGTTTTGTTTTGTTTTGTGTATAGGACATAATTATATATACACAACCATTTGTTATGATCAAAAATACCTGACAGATCGCAGTAAAACACGGTTAAATATGGCATAATCGAGCATTCAATACGTGTTGGCATTTTTTATGTCTTGTCTCATTTGCTTTTCTTTATTTTTAACAATTAACCCTTTTAAATATAACACTCATTACATTTAAATTATTAATTGAAAAAGAAAATAAATTTTGACATATTAAAGTTGCACATTTAACATTCCACATTGAATTTTAAGTATTTGGTAGAGTAGGAGGGAGTTGATTTGTAAAATTGATATATTTTGGTATTCACATTTTTTCAATGTAAACAGATTTCACCTGTCTTTTTTATTTGATGTCTTTTTCTTAATGTGTTAATATAAAACTAATTTGTCTTAGAATAATGATTATGCCACATTTTTACCTCTAAAGCAAATGATAAAAATATTATAGGAATGATACACTGACTTCAGAAAGCCTTACTTACACATGAATATAAATGTTTCAATAACGAGAGGCGAATATACCGGCGAAATTCAAGCTTATAAGTCAAAGACAAACGGCCAAAGCAAGGGCAAAAATAAAAAAAAACAAGAAAAATACAAGCAAGCAACATAGAAATCTAAATACTAAGCAACACAATTCCCATCAAAAACCGGGGGTAATTACACGTTATCCAGCGAGGTAAGCAGGTCCTGCCCCGCATGTGGCACCAGTCTTGCTGGTCATGTTAGTCCACATTTGGTGATGTCACATTCTAGGAATATAGTCCACATTATAAGAAAAGAGGATAAGATTGACATGACGATAATTAGAACATTTCCGTCGTCATCTGTAAAACAAAATAAACCGAATCAGTCAACCAATAAAAAAAGATCACTTGGAACTCTTTGTTAAAAAGCTTTCTTGCAAGCAGCTATCCTCTATCAAGGAAATATCGCCGCGATATAGCCTTTTTGTGCTGATGCGTCGTAAAGCAATCAACAATCAATCAATCAATAAGCCAAAGAAACAATGATTGGAAACGAGTCTGTTCGTGTAATATCGTATTAAGTGGGAAAATGTATTCCATATGCAGGCGCTACTGGAATGTTTGCTACAACGAAATCGATCGTTAACAATTGTGGACCTGATAACATATTTTGTCGTAAACTTCCTCAACCAGCCTTCATTGACAATGCCGTCCATAGAAATTGTTGTATGGAGTCTCCATAACGCGAATAAATGAACAAATTGGTGATAAGAGGAGCACATTTTGTTCTTCAGTCATAAATCAATCGTAAGTCGATCAATCAATTCAATCATATTTTGTCATAGAAACACTTTAATATGTCGAAGGAGAAGGTATGATCTGGCTAGTGTTTCTGATCCCATAAATTCGAAAATCAAAATATATTGTAAATCCGCCAAATGATATACCTCAGATATTATCAATATTCAGTATTTATCTTTTGTCATTCTTTTTTGCATTAAGACTTTAAACTTCTTGCATTTTACACCACTACAAACATTGTCGAAAACTCATGTTTTCAGTTCATGTCATCGATTCACAAGCCAACACATTAAAACAAAAATATTTTGCATTAAACTTAAAGATATATTTTTTAAGATGTAAATGTGTGTATAATATCTTTTTGGGTAAGGTCTTAGCTCATATATAGTTTATCAAAAACTACGTGTAAAATGGCATTTCTTTGTCAAATAAGTCAATTGGGGCACCACACGTTTTCTTTTTATACTGATGTGTTCAGATTATAACTGCCTGTTCAATTATCAATAAAAAATTTGAAAGACTCGAAAAATTTAACTGCATTTGCAATTACTTGGGCCACATAATGGCTTTTATCATACACCTATCCTTTATATTAGATGTAACAATGAATGGATTATACACTTATTTTATGTACATGTTTCATAGAAATCTGAAATGATTCAAATTAAAAGACAACGAGAAAAAACATGTCAAATGTTTTAATCTTGTTTGTGACATTTGTTTCGTTGTAGTGTCCTTTGAATGGTCCTTCAACGGACCCAGGGGAACCAGGACCGCCATCCCCTGCCCCAGGACCACGTGAGTTGTGTATCTACATTATAATGTTTATCTTAGAGATATGAATTTCATTTAAAAAAACAAATCTTAATATGTTATAAGAAGCTATCGATTTATTTGGTGGCCAATATTTCATAAATACAGTGTAATTACGTTTTTAACGCCTGTCATTTAATACGTTTAACTACTACATACAATATCTGATATCACACAAAGAGTCCCATTTTAATTGATTTGTCTGAAGATTCAAGATTATGGAAAAGATATTTATCACATTTTAAGGAAATATTTAAAAACGGAACATTTGAAAATTCTCTGCAAGCTACATGTACATCCATGTTCATATCCTTCCACTGTAATATTTTCCAACAAATAAAACTATTGTGGTTGAAAATTATAATGTCAACATTAGTTTTTCTTTAATTGTTAATTTTCTTTATTCATTTAACAAATGTTGAATGACGTTATAAAAGCATCTTTTTCGTCTGTTATAAAAAAAAAATTATGGTTGTTAATCTACGAAATTCTACTTTTTTTGTCTGTGCTACATGGGGATACGCGGTTATGGTTATTTTTGTCCTTATTTTAACAAATAATGATAAAGATACTGTATGCAATCTTTAATAATTATTCCTTTATCATTCAAATGTCATACAAGTTGGAGGTTAGCTATACATCCAGGTTTAATCCATCACTTTTTGCATGTACCAAGTCAAGAATATGCCAGCTGTTTCCATTCGTTCAGTTGGTTGATATAGCATGCATAGTCTAACATTTTATGTTGTTAGTTTTTATGGACTTCCTCTTTTTGAATTAACCTTGAAGTTCGCTATTTTTGTTTAAGATTTTTTTTTATCAATTGCTCACTATTTTTTTTTCCAACTTGCAGAAAAAGTTTAATCTTTTTGATGCTCATGTCCGAATTGCCATTCATATTAATCTTTATTTGATTTGTAGAAACCAAACCCTGCGCAAAATGTTGTGGACCTCCACCTTGCTGTAGCTTCTGTATAGGTAATGTAACACTTAAAATTATGAAAGCAACGTTGCTCTTTCCGAATGATCACCATTTTCATTAACATCGAAAACTTAACAATTTGACAGGTGCCGCTAGTCAGGCCGGATAGTGTATACTAACTCTGATCACCTTATACATGTTTTATCTGTTTGCATGTTTTTTTTTATCTGTCCTCCGGTCTCTTTAATTTTCATCTGGTTCCATCGTGGATTGTCATCCTCTAAATTTCAAATCATCGCTAAAATTAATTAATTGGTACAGAGAGCGTCAAGAAAAAAAACATCATAAGACAATCAAAAGAACAACCCAGAAAAGGACAAAAAATACATGTAGCAATGGTGCAATCAAGATCCATTCAAAAAGAATAGAACGATAATAAAATTGAGAATGGAAATGGGGAATATGTCAAAGAGACAACAACCCGACCATAGAGCAGACAACAGCCGAAGGCCACCAATGGGTCTTCAATGTTATACATTTATATAACCACTCCTTTTTGAAATATATGATCGAAACTTATAACTTACAGTTGGATACAAGATCTCCACAATTATTTGAGTATTGTTTCAATGTTCATGCTCGAAGACGTCATATCTATATATCGAATAAGAATGGAGTTAAAATAATACACGATCATACACATGATACATGCATAGAATATATAATGGAAACGGGGAATGTGTCATAGAGACAACAACCCGACCACAGAGCTAAAAATATGTTTGCTAAAGAATAGATGCGATTAATATTGATCGCATATTGTATAACGGACGTCTGTTTCAAAAAAACTATCGGCATTCCCATTGGAACCATCTGTGCTCCCCTTCTTATCGGCTTGTTCCTTTATTAATACGAGGCAGATTTCATACAGGAGCTTCTAAGAAAGAATAAAAAAAATAATCCGGTAACTTCGAGTTTTGAGACATGGATGATGTACGCTTACTAAAAATGCTACAGGAAAATGAAAGTATATTGCATAGGGACAGCAATTCAGCCTTACAGCAGGTCACCTACGGACGCCTCAAAGTGTTGTTTCAAGAGTTTTTAACGTGCAAAAAGCGTTGCACACCTTCTATATCTACACAGGGCATAGGATTTAACATCCCCTTTCTAACCGAACATGATTTTTGATGAATACATTCCGCACATTCAAACAGACGCCCCTCTTTGCCAAGGATTTTGCTGCTTGTCGGCAGAAGACTATACGTCTTTACCTAAATCAACATTTGGCGTGACCTTTACCCAAAACGAAATTTTGATTTTTGACAAAGATGTCAATACTAGTAAAATATCTGTTTGGGTTAGATCATCTATTTGTATCTACTTTTTGTCCAAAATTATACACAAAAGGGACAGAGAAGTTCCCAAACATCAATTTATACGTGTTCATTGCGTTATAGAAACATCACAACTGTAAGTTTTGATCAGAGGTTTAAAGATAAAATCAAATTAATTAGTTGTCAATAGAGCTAACATAATTTGAACCGATTGAAGTATTATTACAGTTTAAGCGATGAAATTATTTTAATAAACCTCCTTCCAGAAAGCAATATTTTGAATATACTCTTGTAAGAGTATTATGTTATCATTTTTTTTTCATTTTTTAATAATTTTTTGTTTTAAAATGATATTTATAAAGGGGGCATATTAAGGTCAACCATATATTTTCATATCAATGTAAAACGTTTCCATCGTGTATACTTGTTAATATATTTAACGTTCACGACATTACAGATTGCGAAATTGGAAATCCTTTGCCGAATCATTACTGTGGGTCGACTGATAAGGTGTGTCCTAAAAGTTACTACTGCAAGACTAATCCAGAAATCGGCAGATTGGGAGTTTGCTGTAAAGGTAAGAAGTATCATCTGTTGTGTTGCTTACAGTAAACATTCGGTATGTCGTATTTATTTCACAGAAGGTAAATCAAGATAATCCGCTCAGATGCACGCATTTGTTTATTTCATTCACTAGCACTAGACCGATACAACTGATGGTGAAGTGTCACAATAAGGGTATTATCAGTGCCTCTGAGCTGACACGATTAATAACATATACTTAAAATACCCCGTTCAAAAATTAAGAAACATTGAGAAAGAAGGTTCAAACTCCTGGCGTACAAAATTTTGGTCTTATTACTATTAAATACACGTATTATGTTGGCGTCTTTCTTAGAAAGATAACTATGCTTGTTCGAATTTTTTATTCAGTTGTGCTGTATATCTGTTATGTATGTTTACTCAGTTTTGACTGCTGGCTTCTTATTATTGTCACATTAATCCATTATATATGTTTGAGTGGTTTACCTTATTGTGTCAATATAACGAAACTATAAACATCTGTCATACAAGCGAAAGGTTTAGCTAACCACGAAACCAGGTTGAACCCACCATTTTCCTCGCACAATTCCTGTACCAAGGCAGGAATATATTTTTCAGTCGTTCCGTTGATTGATAGCGTTTGATTTTGTCAGTTTGTTTGCCTTGGAATTTTTTTTTCTATTTTTCAGACAATGTTGACCTTAAAACGTGAAATTTAGATAAGGTTTATTTCATTTCCTAGTGTCAAAACGAGGAAAAGAGGACAAACTGTGGCTATGACACATTGAATATATTCGATTATGCCAACGACAAGGAAAATCTTATGATATGTCTAATAGGGTTATAATTCATAAACGTCGGAAATACAATAAAAACTATGTTATGATTGTGTTGAATTCTAATTGGATTATCTGCAAAAGAGAACAGAACTGCGGTTATCTGTGACACGGATAATTTATATTGATCTATCAAGTCATAATGGCATCTTAAATACTATCAAACCGTTACCTATTTATAAGATGGTATTTGATTTCAATTATCTTAAAGTAACTGCAAGTACTTCCAGATATGTTATTTGTGTCTTTAGTATTTATTTAGTTATTCTGTTATGTATCGATTTGATTAGTTATTATCAATAAGAAGATGTGGTATGAATGCCAATGAGACAATTCTCCATCCAAGTCACAATGTGTACAAAGTAAACAATTATAGGTCAAAGTACGGCCTTCATCACGGAGCCGTGGCTCACACCGAACAGCAAGCTATAAAGGGCCCCAACGTGATTAGTGTGAAACAATTCAAACTGGAAAACCAACCCTTTTTAACGGATTTCCATAGTAAGTTTAAGCTTATGATGTGCTGTTCCAGGTTTGGAAGAAGGTTCGGAGCCCGCTTAAATGTTTAACCCTGCCACATTCTTTATATACTTGTCCCAAGTCAGTTGCCTGCAATTCAGTTGTTGTAATTTGATGCTGTATATCATATTTGTTTTTCGTTTATTGTTTTGTAAAAACATCAGGCTGTTATTTTTTTTTCTTGTGTGAATTGTACAGTTGTCATTTTGGGGCCAATTAAAGCTTTCTACGCGTTATGGGTTTTGCTCATTATTGAAGCTTAGCGGTACCATATTGTTGCTTATTTGGTCACCAGTGAAGAATTGCCTCGTTGACAATTATACCATTTCTTCTTATTGTTATAATATATAATGAAAATGACATTAAATAAAGAAAACAATTACAACTCAAACAAAAATAAATAAAACATTTATTTTAATCATTTAATATTTATTATTTCAGGTACCAGACCTAATAAATGTCCAGCTGATAAATTTAAGAATACGAAATGTAATGAAAAATCTAAAATAAGATTATGTAAAACCGATGATAACTGTTCGCCAAACAAAAAATGTTGTAAACAGGGTTGTTTCTACTATTGTATAGATCCTGAATGGTACGAGTGGTACAAGTGGTAATCATCCTGGAAAAACTTTATATTGAATTAAATGTCTAATTGTAACATTGCCTGCTTGTATTGAATTTATTTGTTGGCAGTGGAAATATTCACAAAGAGCAACACAGGCCGAATATATGCCTTCATACGGGAAACGCATGTTTTTCTATGTTTCCTGTTGGAAACCACAAAGAAACGCCCCATTGGTTTGACTTGTCCAAATAGTTATCGTAAATTGATGTTATTGTGCTGGTTCTACTTAAATTTACTTTTATTAAATGATCAACTAAAGTCGAAATGGAAAAAAAAAATAAAAATATAAAAAGTTGTTCCTTTGATGTATTGAATCACTGTATGAGGACCAATTTTAAACTGTCAATAATAGTAGCAAAACTCTGATAAGTGATTTAATGAACACTTTGGGATGAAAAAGCGTCTCCTTTTAAGGGAAAATATTGAAAACAGCAGTTGACCATGAGAGGTTTTGAACGGGTGCCACATGTGGAGCATGATTTGCTTACCCTTCCGGAGCACCTGCGATCACCCCCAGTTTTTGACGGGATTCGTGATGCTCAGTCTTTGTTTTCCTATGTTGTGTTTTGTGTACTGTTGTTTGTTTGTTTGTCTTTTTTTTCATTTTTAGCCATGACGTTGTCAGTTTCTTTTCGATTTATGAGTTTGAATGTCCCTTTGGTATCCTCCGCCTCTCTTCTTTAAGTATTCTTTTTAAAATTTATCGTCGGATGTGGTATCCAGATTAATACTTTTAAAAGAAATTCATTTCGGATAATCCCAAACGATGTTTTTTTAGACATTCACATACAATTTACATGGATAAGGCCGAAAACATATTTATCTTCAATTAGACAACCGGCAATTACTAGCTGTTTAATTTTGTTTAAAGCTACGATTCTTTTTGAAGGGAAACTGGAACTCAAGTGCAATCAATTACTACGTTAATGAGTAGTGGTAGGTTTCAAAAATATGTATCATGTGTATGACTATATGGAATTGACATTGAGTTGTGATAAGCTTTAAAATTTAGTAGATTGTTTATACACATAATGTTATTGTGCATGTCCACAGAATTTTTTTTTTAATAAACTGAAAATGCCGGGTATTTGGATTTTGTCTTAATAATACATAATAGGGTTCAGGATAAATTTATTCTGAAGTAAAAATTCATCAAGGTCTTAACCAGTGACAGAATCACAAACATTGGCTCATAATGTTAACAAAATTAGGTTTTCAATAAAAAAAAAAGGATTATTGGATTTTTTGTTTTTTGGACTCAGTTTATAGTAATGTTGAAAATTACAAAAAAAATGCAAACACATTATTCAAATACATCGTTTGTGAACATGTGCAGTACGGTCAAATTGTTACTGACAACTTGAATATCATCATTATATATATTTAATGTTTAAGCAGCAAATAGCATTCAAATGCAGCTCCACGTCAAGATTAAAGTTTAATAAAAATATAAAATATCCACACTAGTACATATCCAACATTACATTTTTGCTTTTAAGCTTGTTTATAAGGTTAACACATTAGGACATTGTGAAGAGATGACCTTCTTACTTATGTTAAAACTTGAATATATAGCTGTAATGCTCCATTTGATATAAATACATCTATTCAATACAGGCACCTGGTGTAATATGTAGTATTTACGGTGCGCCATTTTACTGAAAATGTATGCTAATCGAATAATTTTTCAAGGTGTATTTCAAAATCCGCTTACTTTTTTCTGCATAGTCAATTTGTATATAATTAAATCAATTATATATGATTACTTTGTGCACAATATGCTGCTGTAATATATTTATTCATCGTTTAGTTTTATACTAGGTAATTTTACATTTGATTAACTGCAAATTATGAAAAAAAACACATTTTACTTTACTTTGACCATAAACAAAACTGTTACAAAGTGTGGATATTACATTATATTATAGTTTTTTAGGACGTTAGGTTAATCTAAAGATAAGAATTTCTTCATCGGAAAATTGACTGTTGAGTGACCTTTCACAACCATGTTGTCAGTCTAAGTATTGATGATTGCTTTGTTTACTTGAACACAGGTGAGAAATATTCATTTCTAAATTATATAATTTGAATTTCTATTTCGGTAACACGTTTAAACTTTTTTTTTTTCTTTTTTGTGTATACATATTTGTTTGTTTTTCTTTGTTTCGCGTTTTATATTTGATATTTTTTTATTTCTTAACATTTTGAGAAGCTATTGTTAAAATAAATCTTCAATCAATCTAATGACATATAAATCTTTTTAATACGTACGGAAGAAAAATGTTACCTAAAACGTCGCGAACCTTTTTTTCGCATTTCAGTTGTCTTTTTCGACATAAATTGTTCCGAACAAAGTGTTATATAAACAGAAACTCTGGGCTGATCTGATATACTGCGGAATGGCTGTGGATACTGTTCCGAATGCGTCGTAAATTATCGTTTGGTGATGTTACAATCACGGAAAAGACGAGTTGCAATAGCACAAACAGTAAGATGTAGATAGTCTTTCCTAATGGGTTAAGGCTGGGGTCGTTTCAACAAATTAGAATTAGAAACTTAATCGCTTTCTGCTGTTTCATACACTCAAATGTGGCTAGGCACCTGTCCTAACTCCATGATAAATATGTTTGTGTAACACTTTTTTTTTATACTGGATTTAAGTACTTCCAATTTAATTAAAAGACTTAACTTGTACCCTCACAAAACTTAACAATCCTCAATAATCATAGGACTGTTATATGCTACTTTGGAATTTTAACCAACGACTTCATTAGATACCAGAATCAGTTATAAATCTGTCAAGTGCCTGGCAAAACCTCTTTCCAAAGTATTAAAATCAATTTTTATCTGAAATGGAAACTGGGATTCAGAGTTATTGTAATACTACACACTCTACTGGTTGCGTGAATCAAGATATGGGTACTAAAAAATAATGTCAAAGTTCTGATACATACAATCTACTACAGTCTCTTTCGTTTAGCAGAATTAAAAACTAATTTATTATTTTTCTACTCTATAGTATTATGTGCTCAAATCTGTGCAAACTTAAACCTTGAAAAGGCTATGAACGACGAAACGTGTAAAAAATCTACAATTTAGTGATGTTTGGAGACGGAATTTGACATCAGCGCTAACGTAGACCAACCTGAAATTTTTAACCATCAACTGTACTCTTATATATCTTTCATTTAATAAAATATCATGATGGTCTACGTTGGCGTTTATGTCTTAAATTTAAAAATAATCCGATTGTCTACAATTTTGACAAGTCAAATATAATATATAATACGTCAAACGAAACTGTACGGTTACGAGATTATTCCGGGGTCCACAACTTATTAGAATATTACGTACGAATAGCTTTTACGACGTATGCAGTCATCAAGACATGTCACTCTCTTAAATATAATATGTTGTACGTGTAATTAAACCCAGGCAAACAAGTCTACCACAGTGCAGATAACATCGCTTTATTACATAAATACAGAGTGGTGTGCCTTGAAATAGGGTGAATTAATTTCCATTCATTATCATTTTCAAATACTCAATTAAATCTTACAAATGTATTTTATAATAACGTCTTACTACATTTATACTCTTTGTGTAATTCTGAAGTAAATTGTTCATTTCCTCAAACATATTTTGCACTTCAAAATTTTCCATTTAACCATGTACAGAAAAATAGATTTAGATATATTTATTTCCTCTACAACACACACCTTGCGACAAACAATTTTTTTTAGCAATGTAAAGATAAAAACAAAGTAAGGTAAAAAAAACATAATTCCTTATACAGAGCAGTTGATACTGAAATCAAGTTCATGATACTTTACCTGTACTGTAATTTTCATATTGACACCCTGTTTATATATCGGTACATTTTCTTTATATATGAAAGCACTCTTTTGACAAGTTGTATTCATATCTTTTAAAAAATAAAAGTAGCATTTCATTCTCTTAGCTCCTGTTTAGATTTATAAAAATAAACATACACAAAAGGCTTAGTTTCAACATATTTTACTTGCATAAATACAATTTGGATAAGGCCCGTGATTAACAGACATAAAGTCTGTGCTAAGTTTGCGTATAGAAATATGTGTATTTTTTTTTGTCATTTCAAACATTTATAGCTATTTTGTCTAAAGGTCTATCTAAGTGACAATCATTTCATGCCAAACCTATACCTTATCCAGGAGTGCACTGGTTCCTAGAAGTATGGTAGTACAAAACAGGTACTTCTGACCTGATCAATGTACAGGTAAACTATGCACTCTTACTTCAATTTCATATTTGTATGACCCCCCCCCCCCTCCCCCCCCCCCCCCCCCCCCCCCGTGACAAAATGTCGAGCGGGAATATTAATTTAGACCTGTCCGTCCATCCATCCGTCCGTTCGTCTGTTTGTCCGTCCGGATATAGATACATGATATGTCTGGCTATCTCCTCCTACAGTTTGTGAGCTACATCTTCAATATTTTGTAGGGTGTATCTACACATAATAGAGGTGTGTATGTCCACAGGATTTTGATTTATTTTTCAAATATTCTTAAAATGACAGGTATTTGGGCTTAGTAATTTTTTGGTACTATAGCTGCATAAAGAGATCATGTTTTTTTCACGGCCATCTTCTAAAGTTTTTGAGCTACAGCTTAAATATTTAGTAGATTTATTGTACACATAATGGAAGCGTGCATGTCCACAGGATTTTTTTAAATACTCCCAGGATGCCAGGTATTTGGACTTAGTCATTTCTTCTTTTGGTACTAAAAGTCAGCAAGGGGTGGTTGTTAGATATTCACAAAAAAAATTGTCGTTGAACCTGTTTTCCTTCTCACTAGCTATACAATTGAAAACATGATTTGCACTACTACAGTTTAATGTCCCTAATGCAATAAATAAGATTTTGTAGTACTTTCAAATATTTATTCAAAATGTAGAAGTCCACATAAAAATTGACAAAAATGCCAGCAAAAAGTCACGCTAAAGAGTCATGTGAAAAAAAGAGCATAAAAGCACAAACAAATAAAATGAAAACTGT